GAGCAGCTTTGGTGTTCAGCATGTGATCCCTGCCAGCCATCTTCCATTACACAGAACAGGAGCTCCAGTTAGCAAAGACTGCACTTCAAATGGTTACAGCAGATGCTTTAGCAGAGGACTACAGAGATTTTTCCATTAGTAACACTTTAATTGCAATATACATAATACAAAATTATGTCAGTATTCACCAGTTAAACTGATACTTGAGAACGCAGAGTAGTAATGAGATTAAGTGATAAATCTTTTGCTTGCACAAAGAAGAGCAAGAACAGTGATCACAATGAAATACAGCTCATTTCCCACTGCCATCTTAAACATCTCAGGTACAACAGTTAGCACTTGGCTATTCCAATTACACCACAAGCTAAACGAGGTCCAGCATTTCCAGTTAGTTTGCTCTCATTATCTCCCCCTCTACCCAGGTCATCACTTTTTGCATGGACCTAGAAGAGAATTGAAGATACCTTAATTCATGTCATTGCATTTTTCATTACACACATACTAGCAGTGACTGCCAGCTACCAGTGAGGCATTACAGCACAAAAAGCACTTACCCATTTTGTAATGCTGAATGCCAAAGTGGTACACATGCTAAGAATTCAGGACTAGACTTACCCATAAAGATGCATCACCTTCAGTTGTATTTGTTTGAACTGGAAGTCACCAGAACCCCAAATTTCAGAAAGTTTACTCTAAGAGCAAACTCAGACTCCCAGTTCACCCTCAGAGCTGCACTGAAGATGCAACATCCCCAGCCACTGCATTACATGTTATATTACAAAACTCCCTGCTACTTGACTGTCAGAGCAGCGCGCACTCTTTCCCCAGCATAAGAGTCAGCTCCCATGCCTTCCACTGATAGCATTTGTGGCTGACTACAGGTTCCCTACTCAACTCAGCTTCCTTTAATCACACACAGCCAGAAGCACACTTAAAATTATCCTCAACAAGGGCAGCAGAAAATTAAGATCTCATAATAATGAAGTGTCACCACATCAAAAACCCCATGCTAGAACCTGCATATCAAACAGCAAGGACTAACCCACTGCTCTTTAAAGCCCCTAGGTTGGTAGCAAGGCACTTACCACCATGGTACGGCCAACGATGCAGTGTGGTCCAGTCAGAGAAATGACAGAATCTTCTATTTCTACTTCTGCCACTCCTCCCTTAGCAGTCACATTGCCGAGGTCACCCACGTGCCTGCACAGAGAAGCACAGAAACTCAGTCTGGTTGAACTGAAAGCCCTGACAGATGGCCTGCACAACACAGTGCTAAGTTATCACACTCAAGTACTCCATCTCATTTCACACAGCGCGCACACACACACACACACACACACACACACACACACCCCTACCCCCCCAGCCATGGATTTTAACTCCTTCAGTTCAATACATGACTAAAATCCAATTTGAGGTAGAACTTGAAGTATGAAGGCTAACCCACTTGTGGGAAAGGAGTGCCATTATCTCCTAGCAAGCTAAGCAAACAGTGCTCAACTCTTAAGTGCCAGCAATTCCTTCATGCTGATGGAGACTGTTTCCCTCCGCTCAGAAGGAAAATCTTAAACTACTGTCTTAACCTTTCCTGTACATACAAGGCATGACAAACACTACCACTGTACTTTTACTGTATACAACAAATCAGCTATTCCACAAAATGCTGCTGGCTTCAGGCTTAAACAGGATTAGCAGAAGCAGTTTGACAAGGGATAGGTCAAAGGGGATACGTGAAAGGCTGGCTAATGTCTAACCAGTGTAGGAATGACTGTTCAAGTCTGCCTGGCATTCCCCCACATTGACATTACACAGTTTAGGTGGGTTTTAATCCTCACTCAGCTCAGTATTTGTAGAACATTTGGACACACTGGAGTTTTTTCCCCCCCTACACAACTACCCCAAACAAACCATTCATTTGAAGCTGATGGAACCTCAAACACCAATTTGTTCCCCGAACTGTCCATGCTCACAGGGTGAGCAGCTCTGCTAGCTACCTGCCAACTACCTGCTTCCTGAGAAGAGTGCTGATTTCATATTTTTAGCTCCATCCTAGAGAATAAGGACAAAGGCAATTTTCCCTTTAGGAGTTTGCTTGATTTAAGCAACCAGGAAATTTTAGTACAACAGGCTTCAACTGTAGCCTTACAGAAGCACAGCTTACTTCTCATGCTTTCACAAAGAACCCCCAGCCTATAGCTGCTTGAGCAGGCAGGTTACATCAGAAGCAAGATCTGACAGAGAATCAATAGAAGCCACAACGCTCATGTAACTGTGACCTTTAGCATTAGAGTGCCTGCCTGCCTGTGAAGCCCTTCAGCCACCATTTTGCACTGCTTTCATCCAGACAGCTCTCACCCAATGTACTTCATCTGGCAAGGAACTGATCACTCCAAAAGGTACCAATAGAAGCTGTAGGTACAAAGTACCTAAAAACTTACCAACACTGTCAGATTGGTCACAGTGCTTGACCAGAACCTACTTCTGCAAGATCAACCCACCTTTTAGACTTGCACAATCTTTTAGGCTGAAGGCCAGCACGATAGCAGCACCTTCCCAGTCTCAGAACCCAGTGAGCATATTACTGCAACTGCTGCTCAGCAGTGGGCTCAAACACTACATAGATACCTCAGACATGAAAGGGTCCCCCCCTCAAAGGTAGCTGGGCCATTTAACTACTTCCTAGGAAGAATTCAGTCAGCTTCCACTGACAGAGGACTTTCAAGGCAAGGACAGAGGCATTCAGTGCAAACAGACCAGTACTTATACCTGGCACACAACCCCTACAAGAATACATCCTGTAGGCAGCACAGTACCTAAGGCAAGAGGTTAAGAAAAACCCAGCACACCAAATGAATAGCCCCTGTGCCAGGCACACAGCTTTGTACTCATCTTGCAGACTCTCCAAGGCCCCAGTGAGGGTCCTCACAGGCCATATGACAAACCTACACAGAGCTCAACACATGAGAGTTTAGGGCCTCTGCTGTCAATAGCTAGCTCCAACAGAGAAGCAAGGCACCACTAGAGGTATTAGTACAGGATCCTCCTTTCCCTTCTCACTTATCTCCTAATGAACATTCACTAACAGCCCATACTTACCTCCTCCTCTCCCTAGGCTATGATAAGACCATTGTACTAAAGACTACATTTTGCACACGCTCTTGAAGCCAGGGTGCCTGAAGCACTGCTGTTCGATCTCCAAGTACCTTGCTAACTGACCTCAGAAGTCCTGCTGAAATTGCTGGTTTCCCTCTAGCACTATCCTAGCAATTAGACAGCAGCATCTCAAGCTGAAAGCCGAATTTACACAGCTGCTGCAACTGAGTAGCATTAGGTCAGGCCCATTAAACTCACCTATCTGCATCTTTTGGTCCACCGTGCTGCTTGCCTTCAGGATTGAAGTGAGCACCTGCGCTGGTACACCCTGAAAAAGAACAACCACCAAAAGTAGATTCATCACAGTAAGCAGTTAAAGTTGGTGTTTATACCATACGTGACCTTAGTCCTCCTATAGTGTGAGAAAGTTAAAAATCATTACTGATGAAACAGCTACTCTCCAGCTAGATCTATAAACATACAAACATTACTCCAAGTTCAACAAATCCAGATGACTCATTCAAGAATGCTCTTCGCCAGATGAAAGTTTTCCAATTTCTTAATACCAGGTTAAAAACTAGGTCAAAAAAGTAATTAGGCCAGTGCTTGATATACCAGGCCTTGAACAGTAGCCTAAATGTGTTCAAAGAATATTCTGAGAATCAATTCCTTAGGAATCATAGTTTCTTAGAACAGATGTGCAGTCATAAAACACACATACGCTGAAGACGGTTGCTGCAGTGACACTAGAAGCAGCTCCTTGAAGCTGATCACACTGCAGCTGTAACTCAGAAGCTAAGACAGGCATCTCACCATTTGTGTTGTCTCCAAATTCATGGACATGGAAGCCATGATCTCCATCAGACAAGCCAGTAATTCTTCCAGTAACCTTTACTGGTCCACTACCCTGTAGCACAAAGAGCTGATTACTACTGATGTGACTGCAGCATTAAAGAGACTCATTACAAGAGAAGCTTCCAGGTCAATAAAAATTCAGCTACCAATGCAGAATCACCTAGAAGCTAGAAGCGAGCCCCAAGAACTCTACCCAAACATCAGAATATATGCCTGAGAGTTGGCCAAACTCCCCTTAAACTCCAGCACTGGGGGCCGTGCTCACAGCCCTGTGCAGCCCGTTCCACGCCCACCGCTGTGATGCGGACCCTTTCCTTGACCCCCAGCTGCCCCAACCCGGCGCTCTCCCACGCCCACCCCGCAGACACGAGGCACGCCCCGCCCCACCCCACCGACCGGCGGACGCAAGACAACAGCCCGGCCTCGCTCCCCCCGACGCCCGCAGCCGCCCGCGCCATGACTCAGCACCGCGGCCGGACAGCGTGCTGACAGAGCCCCACCCGCCGCCGCCGGGCCTTGCCTGCTGCTGGAAGTGAATGACCCCCTCCACGGGGCCGTCCCCCTTCATCACGCACACAGCCTTCAGCGTCGCCATATTCTCGCAACGGCCGGAGAGGGCGCGCAGTCACACAGCCGCCTACCAGCACCCGAGGGCTAACACGCCCGCCTCTCCCGCGGGGCTTATATAGCGCGGCCGTCAGCACTGCGGCCAATCACAGCGCGCTCTCTGGTCTTCTCGCGCAACTACAGTGCGAGGATCTGTCAATCAAGAGGAACGGCGGGCGTTGCGGAGGGAGAGCCAATCAGCGGCGCCGCCTCCTGAGCCAATGGGCAAGCGAGCCGCCTCCAACCGTCGGGTGCGCGCGGGGGTGTGGCTGTAGGGGCGGTTGTGTAACGGCTGTGCTCCGTAATTGTTGCGCTACGGCAGTGCGTGCTCCGTGCTGTGGCCGTTACCTCTGCCGGTTCCCTAGCTCGGGTTCCTCTGTTGAGTGCCTGAAGGGACTGTGGCGGGGAGACCTCGTTGTGACCTTCCAGTACTTGAAGGGAGCCTATGAACAGGAGGGGGAGCGACTGTGAGAGTGGATAGTGATAGGACAAGGGGGAATGGTTTTAAACTGAAACAGGGGAGGTTTAGGTTAGATATTAGGAGGAAGTTTTTCACACAGAGGGTGGTGAGGCACTGGAACAGGTTGCCCAAGGAGGCTGTGGATGCCCCATCCCTGGAGGCATTGAAGGCCAGGCTGGATGTGGCTCTGGGCAGCCTGGTCTGCTGGTTAGAGACCCTGCACATAGCAGGGGGGTTGAAACTGGATGATCATTGTGGTCCTTTTCAACCCAGGCCATTCTGTGAATAGCTGAGGAGTGGGGAAAGTCGTGATGAAAGAAGGCTTGTGGGTTGAGATAAGGACAAGAGGAGAACTGGCCAGTTACAGTCGAGCAAAGCACACTCAGTGGAGGGAGATTCATGTTATTTGTGGTCTACTGATAACAGGCTAGAGCAGTGAGAACTAAAAGCAAATAGTATTATATATAGTATACTGCATTACATTATCTTGCATTCTGATATCATACTTGGTAAATTACTTTTCTCCCTTAGCTCATTGCTGCTGTTTCGTTTTCAGGCCTTACCTTTCCCCTTTTCCCCTTCCCCCTCTCCTGGAGCAGGGGTCCGTGGGTCCTCTCGCCCCATCAGTCAGGGAACCGAACCCAAAACCATTGACACAACAACAGAAAAATACAGAGAAAAAAATACCTGGGGAGTTTTTCTCTGTGAGACAGAAGTGCTTGCTTAATCCTGGAAAGAATCCTGGACCGCTTCCTATCTGGGAAGCATCTTGGCATCATGAATGGTTCAGCTCCCTGGAGTTTGTTCCTGATCCTCATGGAGAGTGGAGGCTCTGCAAATTAGCGGTGAGCAAACGAGTTTGTGTGCGTGGCACAACATCCTGAATGCCTGCTAGATCAAAAGGAAAGATGTCAGTGCCCGCAGGACATGTGTAATTTGTTTTCTTTTCTAATGATTTGTAAGCATGGTAGGATAGCAGTGACTCAATTTATTTTCTGTCATCCGTAATGTCTTGTATCATTATCTGTTTTTTGTTGTTCTTTTTTTTTTTTTTCCCCACTGTTCTTTCATTACGGGGGACATCTTGAGTGCTGTGCTGTAGTACTTTCTTTTATTTTTAGGCCAGTCTCGAAATCCAACTCTTCTTATCAGACAGGTTTATTTCTTCCTTTCTGGAGTTTTTAAGTACTGTCTACCTTCATATCTCCACATGAATACAGAATAATAACCACAGAATGGTTTGGGTTGAAGGGAGCTCAAAGCTCATGCTGCTTCAACCCCTGCCATGGGCAGGGCTGCCCCCCACCAGCTCAGCTGCCCAGGGCCCCATCCAACCTGGCCTTGAGCGCCTCCAGGGATGGGGCACCACAGCTTCTCTGGGCAGCTGTGCCAGCGCCTCACTGCCCTCTGAGGCAAGAAATTTCCCCAACATTTAATCTGAATCTCCCTTCTTTCAGTCTAAAACTGTTCCCTTTTATCCTGTCACTAACAACCTATGTAAAAGGTTGATTTCCCTCCTGCTTATAAGCTCCCTTTAGGTTCTGAAAGTTGGCAAAGAGGTCTCCTTGGAGCCTTCTGTTCTCCAGGCTGAGCAAGCCCTGTTTCCTCAGCCTTTCTTTGTAGGACAAACAGATGGCAAAGAACCAGATGTGGTAGGCTTCTTAATATGTTAAGTAAATTAATTCTAGGAATTTCAGAGTGATTTCAGAGATCACATAAGGCATCAGTAACAAATACTTACATGTGGAAAAAGCCTGAGCTCTGAGATAGCTAAGGACTAAGTTAGACAGAAGGCAGCTAACAAGGATACTAAGAGACAGCGTGGTGAACAGATCAGCAGTGGAAGGCTAAAGAAGAGAGGCAGATTTAGAGAGCTAATTTATAGGAGTTTGTGTGGCACATACAGAAATAGATCAGTAATCTTATCTAGGTCATGGCCTCCCCTTTTGGAGTGTTATCTGTTTCCCTTTTCTTTCACTAGTGCAATAGAAATAAAATAGTATTAGCTTACATGTGTGCTCTTTCTCAAGAGTCTTACATAAGAAGATAGAGAAAGGTTTTTGTTTTGCTTTCTCATGCTTGCTTGTAACTTTCTTACATCTCACTGTTAGGGAACAGATTTCATGGGGAAAAAAACAAAATCACAAAGAAGCTGAGCAGGGTGCTTGGTAGCAGTAACTTATTTTACTGTTTGACATATCAGTGCCAAAGGAGAAAACAAGTGCAATGCTAACCTTTGATAGTATGAACTGCAGTATGATCTTCAAGATCTGGCCAATGTGAGAAAGAGTGTGTTATTTCTTACAGCTCTTTGTTTGCCAACTCCCTTTGCCCCGTGACATAGTTCTACTGTCCTGACTTGGAAGAAGTCCAGACCTTGGGCCTGGATGCATTTTTATAGATAGGTAAAATGGTGACAGTGAGAGCTGACTCAGAGCTCAGGGCGGGTGAAGAGAGAATGAGGGACGGACTTAAGGCTGGGCAGACACATGGCTTTGCCTATTCACACCGTTCTGCAGTTATCTGCAAGGCAAGTTCTAGCAGGGAATTGAAGCAGTGATGATCAAAAAGGTTGCTCACGCTGCATGATGGGAGACACAGTAATTTCTGAGGGGCTAGGTGCAAGAGAGTCTTGGTTATTTCCTAATTTGTTTGCTTAAAGGGCAAATTAATTAATTGTTGTGTAATGTAGGTTAATAGAAGTCTAATCTACATAGGAACTCATCAACTTCTATGCAAAATGTGCACAGAAGCAAAAAAAAACCAAGTTCTTATATACTGTACAGATATGTCATATATTGAGAGTAAGGCCCTTCCAACAGATTAACATGCAGTTAGATCAGGATTTTAAATGGATTAGAAAATTAGAGGCATTTTTAGGGTTGAAATTCCCATGGCAGCCATACCTCTGGTACACTGTGCAAATGTAGTGTTTTCACTTGGGGTGACTCTCATGGAGAAGTGCAGAGTGAAACTAAGATTGTAATCATCGGTGTCATTGCAGACCTCCTGAGCATAGGTGCTCACCCAACACAGTCATTGTCTGTGAATCTATGTTATTTTTTTTAAAGCTTATTTACTTCTATTAAGAAAAACGAATAGAAACAACATGAATTTTGATGAATGTTCCTATCTGTAGGCCGGTGAGGACCCTGAATATGCGTATGTGAAGGGAAGACTGCAGATGAGCTAAGTACAGGTGTGCCCACCCCAGCATGCAGGAAAGCAGACAGCTGTCTCTTCTCTGCAACCTCTGGCTTTGAAGGTGAAGAATGCCAGTGGGGCTGGGTCAGAGTGTTCCTTCCTCCTGTTCCTGTAGCATCTCTTTGGTTCTTCTTATCTCATTCTTCCCGATGATGATGAGCAGTGGTTTCCCAGTGCTGTAATGGGCAGGTTGCGTGGTCTTTTCATTTGAAGGCTCTCTGTGGAAAGCGGAAATTGCATTTCCAGTGTTGGTGTGACCTTGTGCTATGGCACCAGTGAGGATTTGCAACATCTGGGAGTCATCTAGTGAACAGAAAGCACAATATACATCTTTCTTTGCAGGCTTATTCAGAAAGGAGAGCACTGTACTGCAACTGGATTGTTATTCTGCACTGTGAAAGGTCTGGAAAAGGCTTGTGGCTCACCATTTGTTCTCCCTTGGGATTCCATGACCTAGATGCTGGAATTTCCTCTCTAATGTGTGCTTTGTCACCGAGTTCGGCACTGATGTCTTAATGCCATCTGAGATATTTCGAGATACCCCCTCTGGCCTCTGGCTGCTCCTGAAGGGGTCCTGGAGCTGCTGTTCCCTACCTTTAAGATACTCTACTGCATCTCAAAAAGCACTGAACACCAAAGTCCAAGCCTTTGCCTTGTCCTGGGGAAGACATCGTGTGTCATTCAAGACTTTCCTTTGATTACCTGTGGGTAATGACATTTCCCTGCCTCTGAGGGACTCTGGGAGAGGTAATTAAGTCACTTAGTGTTTGTAGAGCATTTTGAAGTTGACAAGTGCAATTATTAAAAGTTATTTCACTAGAAACTTTGTGATGGTGGCTCCCTAGTGAAAAGCCTGCCAATTAAGTGGTGGTTGTGCTGATAACCATAACATTTGTGTAATTAAAGTAGTGCCAGCCTGGAAATCGTTCAGATGGAGTGTACAAGAGTAAAAATAACACTTGCTTTCAATGGCTGAACTGAGGTAATCTGCTGTAGTCCCTGACCCTCCACTGCTATACAAGCTGAGCAACTCTGAAACATGAGACTCAGAGGAGAGGTTGTGTAAGAGCTGATGAAGACCTTTGTACCCAGTGCAGTGCTTGTCGCTGCAAATCGCTGCAGCCATTCACTGCTGCTATTCAAGATCTGTCTGCTGATGCACTGTTTATTTTTTCAGGGCAAAAAGCTGAGTGCAGGCAAGATGGAGGGTTGCTGCTGGGGTTGCATCAACAAAATGAGGGCCTACAGAGTGAGGTTTGCTGCTCTCACAGGAACGCGTTGGCATGGCCAACGTTGGGCAGAGCGAAGTCCAGTGAATCCTTCATCCTGGTTATGGCAAACAGCCGTGCCTCCAGCTCTCCAGCCTCATGAGCTCCTGCATCTTAGCCTGCACTTATTGGGCCTCTGTATGGAAGCCTGTGCCTTTTCGTACATTACATCATATAAGAAGAATGGCTTTGTAACAATTTCATTTAAAGCACAGAAAAAGAAATGCCTAATCTTATATTTTTAGCTAGGAGTTTCTCTGTGAAGCACTTGTAGGTGTAATTAAGCTTTTAATTGCACTTGATACGAAGTTGATTTTCAATCCTGACCCAGAGGAGCATATCCTAGGAGTAGCTTCCCAAGCAGTTTCATACAGATGTACTTTTAGTGCTTTCTGATGCAAACTGTTTGGCACTCTCTTTAATATTTACATTTTAGTAACGCAACAGGTGTCAGTGTACCAAAGAATGAAGGTTTTTATTTCTTTCTTTATTTTGCTTAACTCATCTGTGCTGGGTAATCATCTCATTCAGCACAAAAGCACAATGAAAACACTAATTAATATACAATTAGAACCTACCTAAATGCTATGGGAGGGTAAACTATGACATTCTGCAGTGGGAAATCAAACCTGCCAAACGTGTTGGAATATATCTAGGCAGGTCTCCAAGATAACAAAGATGTGTTTGATTAGGAGCTGTATAGGCATGATTTATTCTCCCAGGACACAAGGAGATCAGGGAGTGACTGAGTTCCTTTACAAATTAGAAACACGACTCAGGGAGCATGGGTTCATGTGGCAGTCAGTGTAAAGAGACTCCTGGGTGCTATTTTAATACAAATAACGAATAAGTGGGAATACAGCTGCAAAGCCCATTAGCCAGGTATTGTAATGCAGTTGCTACACTACTGCATAATTAATATTTATGTGATCACCTTTGCATCCATTAGGATTTCTTTCACAGATCAGTAAACATCTCCTGCCTGCCAAAAGCACAAAGTGCACCACAGGAAGAGGCCTGCAGACTTTGCACCCAGCACGTGTGAAGGGCCATCGTCGGCTCTCTGGGTTTGTGTGATCCAGAATGCTTTCACAAAATGTGGCCAGAGCAGATATACAGGTTCCTGGCTGGGATTCAGGTATTATGACTGTTGGTTTTGGTGGACAGAAAAAGTCCCTTTCTGTTCATTTATAAGCTGTTTGAGACTTTGAAAAGCCAGCCCGTGGCTCTGTCCCAGAGCCAAGCCTCGTAGCTGTTCTGGAACAAGCTACAGCATCCGCTGAAACCCATGCCTGTGTTGAACTGCATCCAGCGCTGTCAGCACACACCACAGCGTGCTGCCACTGACTTGCAGTGGGCACGTGGGCCTGGCGGGACGGTCCCTGTATGCTTCCTGAGCTGGAGTGATTTAAGCCTCCTGGCATGTGGCCCACTGCATCACATGGCTCAGATACTCAGATACGCTGGTGTGCCTGTGGCTACAGAGGAAGAAGAGGCTGCTGCAGCCAGCTGCTGGAGATTAGCACCCGTTCCTAACTACATGCATAGTTAGTGCCTAATCCAGACCTGTCAGTAAGGTCTGGGCAACATGCACATACTTAACAGCGGGGATTTCCAAGCCTGGATCACTCTGACTATAACCTGGCTAAGGAGTAATGCCACGTGCAGTCATGCCAAGAGGTCTGTGGGGCAGCAGCAGCCTTTGCTTAATCATATGGAATGAGCTGCTCATTGTGGGCAGGTGCAATGCAGCCAGACACAGTTCCACACCCAAATACTATGAATATTCCCTTCAGCCTCAGCTGGACACAACAGGCGTGTAGGATTTTCAGGTCTCATATTCCAATTGTGCCTGGCCCTGGGTAGCTGAGGGCTTGCTGCTGGTGCCATGAGATGATTTCAGCTCTTCTCTCTTTCAAGCCCTACCCTCATTGTGTTCAGTTCCTCAGTGTTGGAAATATGCAAATAATTTTCCACGACAGTATCTCCGATAAAGCAGATTTTATTCACAATTGCAATGGCGGGCCTCCTGCAAGCAGGAGAGCACCCAGAAAACAGTTACATCTTTCATTCCCTATTCCTTGACGCTTATCTCTTTCTCCCCTAGTTCCTCATTGGCTGAGTACTTTAGGTTCACAATCCTCTCGATGCTTCACTAAATATGGAAACACGGGACAAACATAAATTTTCGCTGCGTAAGCATAAATCTGTAGTTAATTAATTAACTTATTCCACACTTGATCATTATTTTGCAGATACCGGCTTGTCCTTCTTTGCACAAAGATAAGCTCGGGAGAAAGACAGGGGAGTAGCTTGGTGTCTGCCTCTCACATCCCAACCTTCTCACGGAGTGAGACAGTCTGGCCTTGTGTAGAGGCCCTAGCTGCTTTGATGTTTGCTAAATCTGTTTTTCCTTTGCTGAGAGTTTCTTATCCTAACAGAACAACTCTACAATATGTTTTCTAATCCCTAACACTACACTCGCATTGTTTGGAACATTTAGCAACCATTACAATTTTGCAAGAAAGAATTGATCATGTAATTCAGTAATAATGTTTCTAAAACATGCCGCTAACGTATATATTTTACTTCTTAGATCAACTATTTCTAAGGATAAGTTACAGAATACAAATGCATTATGTTCTACTTCTTCAAACCAATTGCTCTTTTTAATATCAAATGCAGAAACAACATTCCATTCCCACATCTGCATGCCTCTGCATGCTGAACTTCTCCTCTGTGCCTGAGACATCAGGCAGCAGCCAGGTTGTCCCTGTCAACCAAGCCAGAGCTCCTCATCTTTGTGATGCGTGGAAAAATTGAAATGCTTCCCATCTGAGAGTAGAAAATTTCCACACACCAGACCACCTTTTTGCTTGCTTTCCTTTCTCTGGAAGGAGGGCAAGATGTCCCCAGTGTGGGACAATCCATTGGGGACCCACTGTAAGTCCTCCACACAAACAGGGTCTGGAGTTCAAGAAACATTTGGACAACGCTCTCAGAAACACAGGTTGAATTTTGAGTGTTCCTGTGTGGAACCTGAGCTCGGTGGAGGAGCTGGGCTTGTTCAATGATCTTTGCAGGATGTTTTCAGGACAAACATTGGTGCTGATACGATCAAGGGGAAAAAATGCAATGTGAATGATTATAAAACCGTGCATGGGTTGGACATGGGAGTTGGTGTCTGTTCTGGTGAATTCAGAGCTTATTAGCAGTGACAAATGTGCTGGCCACTGGATGGCATCATTGGTACAGGTTTCCTGTGACAGATTCTGCCTTTCACAATTACCATCAGTAAAATACTTGAAAATGTCTTCCTTTGCTAAAATAGCCAAAAATGTGTAATTTTCAAGAAAAAGAAGTGTACAGACCAGGGACATTGGTTAGTTTATATAGGCACACGACTCTCTGTGCCCTCTCACGGAAATGTTACTGTTTTCATCCTTCTTTAAAAAGCCCAGGGGCAGGAGCAGAAATTTCAGCTGTGCCTCATGAACCAGCATACTCCTCTTCAGCTTTTCTAAAACAGCCTCAAGTCTTTGGAGGGGATCCCTGCACGTACCTGCCAGGCATTCAGACCTAGGGATTATGAGACACTGAATGCCAGGCAAAGTTTTACAAGTCATGCTTAATTCCCTCGTGGTGAATGTCAGGGAAAAAAGGACCTAAAAGGAACATTTTGTAAAGATATTCCTTGCTCTATTAAAGAACTGTTGTGGTAGAGTCCCCGTTGTCCTCATCCCTTTACCTAACTGACATGCTTATTGCTTAATCCTGTCTTATATGGATTCCAACCTCAGATCATCTGGGAAAAGTGGAGTTTGTTTAAGACCTAATGGCCTGTTGCATGTGTGTGATAACTTTAAGGTATGTGTATGAGGGGTCTGAGGAAGCAAATGGTACAAATGATGTCTGTTCATTCCCTGGACAAAAATTAATTTGCACTTTTCTAAGCAGGTTTGTAGTTTGGAAATCCTTGTGAGTCTTTCCTATGTGACAATATAAACTGTGATTTCTTATCTCAAAATGTCTGGAGAGGACATTTTTCTGAAAGAGAGAATATGCTGAAAACAGTGTATTTGTAAAGAGATCAGAAAGCCTTCAAGTTAGTACAGAGGATTGCTCTCATTCCTGTGGGGATACAGAGATCTTTGTATGGCATCTCGTATCAGACTTAATAAAACAAGGGGCATAAGACTTGCTTGTGGGAAGAAAACCTCCATTAGAGAATATGAAAACAGCCTGTCATGTTCACATGGTCCGCCTGGGGAAAAAAGGATTTCAAACTGAATGGCACAGAGACACACAATGTCTCTGTCAGCATCTTCACTAAAGATGTCAGGATGTGATCTCTGGCCCTTTAGTGATGTGGGCACTGTGGCAGTTCCAAGAAACAGAATCCCCCTGCATGCATAAAGTAGTAATTTCAGTTCAGAAAACACCTGGCTCCTCCAACAGCATTTCCTGATGATACAGCTGCTAAACAATTCACCATCCTTCTGAAATGAAAGTAAGATGCTGACAGCACAGTCAAGTTAATCCTCTAACAGGACTTAGTAACGAGGAGGTGCAGAGGTGATACCAGAGCTAACTAACACT